ACGCAGCTCGATGAGTTTTCTCCAGCCTTTGAAAGTGCCTATGGACCTGACGCGATATTTCTGTCTCCACAAAGGTCCGCGTGTACCGTGCATCTGTATGGTCTGTTTTTCAATATGGATGCGAATGCTGGGCTATGCGCGTGGAAGATGAAAGGAAACCGGAAGTCTCTGACCACTACTGCCTGAGGAACATCCTTAGAGTGAAGTACACCGACGTCTTCTTAAATGAGGCAGCCCGCAGTCGCCGCGATAACATTGCAAGGATATCCGGGGCAATCAAAAAAGACGACTGAGGTGGTGTGGACACGTTCTTCGTCGTCAACCTCACGAGCTCAATGTTACTGCCCTCGATCCGAGACCTTTAGCTAATTGGAAACGTGGAAGTGGGGGTCAGCACAAAACCTGGCTTGACTCAGTCCGTCAGGACACGGAAGTGGTTCTTGGACCTTCAGTATTCGGCGCTGGCGAAGAGAATGGCTTGAACTGTCCAGGTCTGCTGCCACGGATCGTCGCGCGTGGAGAAGCACCGTACGGGACATTATCAAGGCCAGCTGGATCAGATATGATCGCAGCTGCAACAAGTACAAGTCATGCATATGATAGAAAATTGAAGAACAGATCGCTGAGCGCTCAATTGGTGAATGTTCTCGCAGCAGACTCAGACTGTTATTCCTGTGAGGCGGCTCCCGCCGACAAAAAGAGGCTAGAGGACTTAGAACTAAGGTAAAATGCCAGCGATATTGTTCAACCACGTAGAAAACCGCAATGAAGACATTTCAGATTAACTCCTTGCCTTTATAAGAATACGCAAATTCTGCTAGGGGCTGGTTACCAACGGGCGAAACTCATTGTTAACCCTCTAGGCTACCATTACCAGTAACGACTCAGCCAACAGAACCCCAAAAAGCCGAAATTTGCCTGCACATACTGCAGCTGGTTAACGCCTGACTTAGCTTAGCAAGATAACATCGCAGGCTGTACAGCTCTATGCGTAACTATCTGTGGAAGCGAAACTCTGTACACGCACTATCGGCGATAACTTTTTAACGGGTCAGACGAATTATGCAAACATTTCAAAAATCTATGTAAAAAAAACCAGCCTGGTAATTATCGGGGGAATTGTAAATTTTTCAGAAAACCCAGCTGGGATAGTTACTTTACAGTACCAGAATTGGAGAATTTAATCCGCGCTCGCAACCAGAAACCACGACCTAGTTCTCATCCAAGCACGCAGCCTGCCACGTCAAAGTCACACGCCACAACTCCAGGGATGCGCGCAGGCGAAACACGATAAGATGGCGTGAGCATGGAACATTCACAAGTGCCACCTTTCCCCACCCTATTTAGACGTAGCCAACGTTTGCTGCTGTCCCATTTTCTCTGACGATGGCTTCTCGTGTGGGGTCGACAGCTCAGAAGAATAACATTGCCGTTCCAGAGACCGCGTCTTCTTCTTCTTCTTCTTCTTCACAATTTCATAAGTTGTAGAATGTTGGAAAGTTAGTGTGATCCTAATATGATTAAACGCACGGCTCCTCGTTGGAGCCTCGTATCCCTCAAGTGGTAAGGGTGCTCGTTGTGACCAAGTCTTGCACTTGCTATGTTAGGTTGAAACTCCGCTCCATTGTTCAAAGGTGGTTCAGACGGGTGACTATTTGGGCTAGGTTTCAGAATATCAGTTGCTGTTGTTCTGTCTAATATCTTCTTGCTAAAGCAGTAGCATTCATATTGTGCGTACTGAGGCCGTCGAGTAAAGTTACAAGAAACATACCAACACAACCAGACCAGCCATTGCGACGAAGAAGGGGGGCGTAAAGACGCCGATGGATATGTACCGATCCAAGCCAGGAAGAAGATAGTAGTAAAAGGATTGGTGAAATCGTTCCTGTAGGTTGTTCAAACACCGGAGAAAGGCTTCCAGGAAACTAAAACAAAACAGACAGGGATTTAACTTTATGGACACTGTCAGATGTG